AGATGTACCCTAGCTCAGAAAAATGTTATTGAATAGGTTAATGCTGTTGTAATGAAATGCTTCTTCTAAGTATGTTGTTATTAAATAAATCATTTTTAAAAATTAAAAAAAATAATAGAGGAACTGGAGAGATGGCTCAGTGGTTAAGAGCACTGGCTGGTTTTGACAAGGATCCGGGTTCAATTCCCAGAACACATGATGGCTAACAACCATTGGTAACTCCAGTGCTGGGGGATCCAACACCCTCTCTGAGCTCCTCTGACACTGCAGGACACGAGTGCACTTACATACATGCAGGCAGTACACTTAAAGAGAGAAAATAAAAATAAAATGTTTTACTTAGCAAAGCCAGTACATATTAGATGATGGTCATTCTTAGTCTTTTACCATTACTAACTATTCTTTCTTCTCTTTTCTTTCCTCCTTCCCTTTCCTGTTTTTCCTCCCTCCTGCAGATGTTTTCCAGCAAGGTAAGCTTCACTGCCTCTTGTTGCTCTTTTATTGGCTGTACTGTTTGGGTTGTGGGACTTTGCCTTCTCTGAGGATGTGTTACTGGGCTTAAGGGATGCTATGAGGGCAGTGGCCTGGAGTGCCATCACCCTCTCTGGGTCTCTGTTTCTTTTTGTGACTCATGTTTGGGGCTGGGGCTGGGGACCAGACAGCTAGAGCAGGGAGCAGGGGTGCTATGGGACTTGTGAGGAGCCGGTGTCTCTGGAGGGGGCTCAGGTACAAGCATTTGTCCCTGTAGGACCGGGCATCAGATACAGCTCCTGTTTGGGGGGCTTCCTATGCCACCTTCAGTGGAGGTTTCTTTGCTGATCAAACATGTGGTCACCAAAGTGTGGTAAGATCAGGCTGGCTGGCTACTTGGTGCCCTCCAACACAGCCATGCCTCAGAACCCCTCCAGCTGAGTGTTTAAATAGTCAGGTGAGGGTGAGCAATGCCCTCTGTTTTACAGCCCAAGGTCTGATGCTTGGGTGAACTAGAAACCAAAGCCTTCACTCAACAATGTGTTTTCTGACCGTGTTTTAGTGCCCACTCAGGATGCACAGCCACTGAGTTCCCCTTAGCAGAAGAAGACTCCTAGGTTTAGATCTGACTGGAACCTTCTAGATGCATGTGATGAGGGAACTGCTTTTTCATCCCAGTTTGGGTAACAGTGGCAGGACTTCGTTGTATTCAAACTGGGAAATATGTCTGTAGCACATGTTGCTTTGTCTTTCATGAGCCCAGGGCTGGCTTACAGTAAAAGAGTTTAAAAATACACCAAGCATTCTATAAAGAGCTTCCAAATACTCTTAGAAACTTGATATTTTCACAACCATTATTTCACCCCAAACATGCAGCTTGTGTTATGGAGAATCTCTTCTCTTTGACAGAAGCAAGGTTGCGAGTAACAATGAGGGTTCTGTTGTGTTGTCTTTTAAGAGTCTGGAGTTATAGACCTACTTTTATAAATAATTCATAAATTCCAACCAGCTAAAGTAATAAGTTCCATTTGGCTAGAGACTGAGAGATGAGCAAAATTGAAAAGGTGTCGCGACTGTTGGTGTAATCAAAGTGCCGTGGTCAGGGCCCGTTGCTGTAGTGAGCTCTATTCCTTGACAAATTGGGGGTTCAGTGAGCCACTCGGGGCATAGAACATTTTTTTTTTTTCCTATGAACTGAAATGCAAACATCTCCCAACTCTGTACAGTATTTCTCTCCTTGAAACATGAAACATTTGAGTTAGGGACATGTGTTCCAAGGCTCCTGGTAAAGGGGGAGGAAGAGTGCCTTACATCAGATCTGCTTTTCTGTGTGCCACGGTAAGCCTTCCTGAGTGCTGTAATTGGTATAAAAAATGGCTATCATGCTGCCGGTGTCAAGTTTGCGTCCTTTTTTCATCAGTCACGCCATTCAATTGGTGGGATTTGCCTGTCAGTTGCAATGATATGCACAGCAAAAGTTATAATCATCCACAAATCACTGGCTATTGCGACTTAATAGTGTCTGCCAGCAGCAGAAGCCCACAGCCAGTAAGTGCCCATTCCCTCATGTGACAGTGGGTGGCAGCTGTCTTATAAAATATTACTAGAGGATGCAGCCCCGAAGAAAATGTATTCTTCCCCCAGCAGCCATCAGTTATCAGCAGCTTCTCAGGTGAGGGTGGAACTTAATGAGCTCCTCCCCTGTCTATACTGAGATTTTAACTGGCTTGATCTTGTGCAAGTCTTGTGCATGCAGTCAAAGCTGCTATGAATTCTGTGTGCTCTGCCATGTCCAGCAAATAATGTTTCACTGCAGATGTCTACTACCCCAGATCTTACAGTCTTTCAGTCCCCGCTTCCATGATGGTTCCCCAAGCCTTTCAGGGAGGTTCGATACAGATATTCTATTTAGAGCTGAGCACCCTGTAGTTTTAGTCTTTGCACATTGGCCTGTTGGGGGTTTCTGTAGACCGTGTTCCAGTAGAAATCTTACACCTGTGCACCTAAAGGTGTACTAAGTGGACTTGGTGGGTTAACAAAAGAGAGTATATGTGTAGTTGGGAGGGAAAAGTGGTGAGATGATGAGGAGGAATTTGAGGGGATAGAATGAGGTATAGATTTTATCAAAACACATTATAATACATGTGTGAAATTCTCAATGAAAATACACTTTCAGGGGCTGGAGAGATGTCTCAGTGGTTAAGAGCTCTGACTGCTCTTACAGAGGACCCAGGTTCAGTTCCCAACACCCACATGGTGGCTAAAATTCCTCCGTAACTCCAGTTCCAGGGGATCCAATGCCCTCTTCTGACCTCCGTGGGCATTGTATGACAAAGATGCACTTACACACATGCAGGCAATATACCTACACATAAAATTAAAATAATAAAATATTAAAAATACACTTCTAAATGTGTACATCAGATTCAATATGCAGAATTTCTATTTATTAGTTTATAAAATGTTCTAATTTTCATGAAGCTGATAAAATTTATTATTATACCATCCATATTTCATATGGTGAATATTTCTGTTCCTGGGAAGCATTGCATTTCATTTGCTGAGGTGGTATAATTTATTAAAGCATTTCAGTATTGAGCATGCACGCGCGCACACACACACACACACACGCACAGAGTGGGACTTCCAATAGAGAACTTGCCTTTGAATTATTTACTTGGTTCTGGTCTTAGAGGACCATTTTGTTTGGAGACACCTTCACAGAAATGATGGCTTAAGTGCTTACAAGCTGTATCAACTCCCCTCCCCCATACACAGGCCTTTGTTTCTGGTCACTCTAACTATGAATATAATGCTCCAAATACTGTCAACAGTCACATGAGACTGAGCCAAAGTGTACTTCACTTTATAGACAGAATCTGAAAATGTGATCATTACGCTTTCTGTGGTTGAAACACTGTGCCAGAACTGTGTCATTAACCTTGAAACACAGGGAAAATAAATTGTGGTAGAAAGAAGCAAGCAGAAATCTAGTGGTTTCAAATGAATGGTTGCTACTGGGTTGTTTTCTGAAACCCATTCTGCAGTGGCAGCTCGGGGTGGCTCTGCCTTCCTGAACATACCCTGGAACCAGGCCCTGCTTGCATGGGCTTGACCCAGGGACCAGACAGGTGGGAGAAAGGCTGCTTTGCAGGTGTGATTCTGGCAACAAGTGGGGAGTCCTGTCTGCCCACAGGATGTTGGCATGTTTGTGCTGCTGTGCACCATGGCAGGCAGAAGGGGGAAGCAGGCTTGCAGTTGACAACATCAGACACTCTCAGAGGAAACACAAGTTATTTCTTCTGGATTGCATTATCTTTTATTTCACTACAGATCAGTCTCGTTACAGTAGGTGACAGCACGGCGGCTCCTGCTGGGTCTTTCTCTGCCGCGTGCAGTGTTGTGTACGTGGGAGTGTGTTTTTCTCCTGCTCTGGTGACATTTTATCGCTTATTTTGGTTCTTCTATAAAGGCTGCTTGCTGCAGTGCTTGGATGGCAGGGTTTGAAGATGGACAAGAACCAGTGAGCTTGCAGCTGGACCCTTTCTAAATAAGAATCACAGGGCCAGGGGACTACATTTTCAAGAAACTTTTATTGACTTCTGGTTTTTTTTTGTTGTTGTTGCCCAGAGAGCTCATGAGCCACTGGGTGGCCCTCAGAAATTCTCCAGTGCCACACAATTGCGCTTCAAGCATGTATTGAAATGGCACATGTGCACATGTGTCTCAAATCTCGAGTTTTAGAGCTTTTTGATACAGATCGTTTAATAATGAACAGGCTTACCTGCACACTTGAAAACACTTCCCACACATGCATGCACGCTTCATTTGAAGTCACTGAAGCACCTTTTGAATATTCACTCATCCATAGATGCAACTTTGATTCTGAAATCGAACAGAAATGAAGCGAGTGGCTTGGAAATCAGAGGAATGTCACCTAGCGGGGCATTTGTAAGCAGAAGTGGGTCCAGTGTAAAGATTGAACTATTGAGTTAATTTCCTCTGCACTGAAGTCCCTGAAAGACCTGAGACCAAAGAGCCTTTCCCAGTCCTATTCTTGACCTGGAGTTTGGATCTTGCTAAGGGAGAGATGTCTTCTCTAGCAGAGGGGATTTGTGCTGTCTCTAAAATACAGTGCACAATGTGTTTATTCTACATCTGGTAAATAGGTGCCAGGAATTTTCTGGACCTTGAGGATAGGGGAGCAAACAAGAAAGCAAAGCTCCTTTTTTGCGGCCCTCACAGTCTCGGACGCAGGGCAGTTGGTAGCATGTGAGGAAATTAAATAATTCATAAGTGGTAGAGTGAAGTAACTATGCTGGGTAATGCTGTACGGCTAGGAGGGACACTTTATGTGGTATTGCCAGGAAATGCCAAGAAGGATGGATTGGAAGATCTGGAGGAATAGTCTGGGAAGGGCTTTGAAGGGGGAAAGCCTAGGCAGTGTCCCAGGCTCCAGAGGAAACATGGTTGGAGCTGATAAGTGGTGAGAGCTGTGTGGAATGGGGCAGGATAGGGTCTGGGCTCTGGGGAAGGAAGCTGGAGAGAGCCTTTCAACAGAAGAGTGACAAAACTTTATTTACAGGTAAAAATGACTCTTCTGGTCATTGAGAAAATAAATGCACAAGAATAGTCTGTGATGCAAGAAAACCAGGATTCAGGCTACATGCCCAGTGGGCTCAGGCTCTACTTCTGCCCCTCAAGGAGTCTCTGCTCTCCAGGACTGGGAAACCAGCAGCCTATCCCAGTTCCTCACCTTTGCTGAGAGCCAGCTTCCAGCTCACTTAGCTTGAAGAAGGTCTCACACATGGCTCACACCTCTTCTCCTTAAGGTTGGCAAATTATGCTTTTCAGGGGTGTCATTAAAATATTCCTATATGTGTCATCAGATTTTATGACACCATCACTCTCCAATACACATGCATAAACATGCACGCATGTCTAAACATATATACATGCATAAACATGTACACACAGTACACGTACAACCATGTGTGTA